GCCCTCCACTAGTCTCCACTACTAATGCTAGGTGTGTACTTAAGCCTAGGTTTTGGCTTATCTCTCAAAGGAACAATCACCCAACAGCACAATAGCAACAAATAATAATATAGTGCAGAAAATGAAAATACAATAATATACAAAATACAACACACAAATATACACACCCAAAGACAAGCAAACAAGCGCTAGGATTGACTCGCATAGGGGATGGGAAACGGTCCCAGCAGAGGGGATGGGAAAAGTCCCCAGCAGCTATATGTCCCCAACAGAGTTGCCAGCAGTCACAACTGCGAAAAACACCCATCGGAAAACAGAAGAGTCACCACCTTTCTTTATTTATCCCAAAGAGAGGGAAAGGAAACAATCGAAAAAAACTTGACGAAAAAGGGGAAAGACAAGGTCATCGCAACCAAGTCTGGATTCAGGAGTTGGTTACTCAAGGGGAAGGTATGAGCACCCCTCACACTCGTCGTACTCGACGGGATCCACGCTTAGGTTGTCTAGTCTATGGGTGAAAAATAATCTAATCTACGGCTGCTAAAGCTAAACGGAAAGAACTGACTCGATAGAGCATCGCCGCTCTATGCCTACGTATTCCCTCGTGCAATGGGAAAGTCAGAGTCAACGTAGTTTGGGAAACTACGGGGGGGGGGGGGGGGGGGGGGGATTGCTCGCCAAGACGTCGCGTCTTGTGCCTACGTATTCTCATCCGGCATGAGAAATCAGAGCAAAACGTAGTTCAGGCTAACTACGGGACGAAAGGGTGTTCTCGATCACACGGGGGTGAGAGAAAAGGTTGACGATACTAGCGCACGCATTCTAGCAGTTAGGTGTATTGTTGCTCGACCATTGGAGACTTAGGCGTTACCTGTTTGCGGTAGAACGTACATGGTATGTCGGGGTTTAAAGGTGCGGGAACCTACGGGAACTAGAACTATGGTCTGGTCTCAATTGCGCTAGGGCAAGAGAAAGGGAAAGATTAGTCATCAGCGGGAAAGTCTCGATCGCACGGAAACGAGAGAAAAGAGAAGTTAGTTGTTAGTGTGCTTGCTAGGATATCGCATCCTATGCCTACGTACTCTCAACAGGTATGAGAGATCAGAGCAGCCGTAGTTCGGCCAACTACGGAAAATGGTCTCGATTGCACGGGGGCAAGAGAAGGGAACTCAATCGCCAGGATGCGAGAGAAAAAGTTCGGAACGGGACGCACACGCCAAGTCCTAGACGTAGGAGCGAATGCGTCGCATATCGTCCTAAGGACGTATACTAAACACTCTAGGTAATTGAGAGGTGGCCCCCCAATCACCATTTCCCACGTATCAATTGCTACAGCTCATAACACTCGACGGTTGAATAAAAGAGATGAAAGAAATGAAATAAAAACAATGTTACCGAACGGAGTGGTTCCGTTGACCCTTGACTTTTGCGTGCAAGCTCCATTTCCAAGCTTTCCTCTTTTGATCATTGATGATGACATTTTGAATCAGAACCAATGTGACACTGAACCATCATAATTTGACTTATAAATGAAGTCAAACCCCAAGAAGTAGCGTATTGATATCCGGGTCAAAGACAAGATAGAGAAATGATATTACGAATCATTCTCCAATTGAATCATGTCACACGGACCAAATAGAAGAAAGTCAAAATAAAATCAGAATCAAAAGAGAAATGAGGAGAGGAAGAAATGGTCTCGGATCCTACATTATCCATCAACAAGTCGATTAATAATGGTTTACAGAAGTGTCGTCATCGACCTACAAAATAAAAAAGATGAGAAAAGTCCACTAACAAAGGAAAATTGAATGAATTTCTAATAGGAAAAAGATTCTAAAAGAAACATTAAAAGAAATTGAATATAGAAAATAGAATATAAAATTCTATTCAAAAATATGTACATATATCCTAAAAGAAATACTAAAACTATAATTCTTAAAAGAAATAGTATCTAAAAAATAGAATATAAATTCTATGTAAAATATTTACATGTAATATCTAAAATAAAATATAATACATGGTTGCAAATGTATTTATAAAACAAAAATCCAAAAGGAAATAAAACAAAGCAGCAGGGGGGGTTCAGTCCAGATCAGGAGTACAGAGAGCAAAATGCCACATAGTTGGGCTCTAAGGCCCAAATCAACAACACAATAGCAAACAAAATGGGAGGGGTGTATCATGTAAAAGGGAGGCGGTAAGGAACCGATTGGGCTCGGCCCAACTCCAAAACAAAAAAAGTATCAACAACCAAACGGGGAAGGGGCATAATGAATAGTGGGGATATGGTACAGTAAAAAGGAATTGGGCTGGATGGCCCACTAACCCAAACCAGCAGGGTCCATGAGGACTATTCTTCTTCCCTCATTTCACCTTGTTCAGAAACCCTAGCTCGCCGCTTCTTCAACGTCACCATCTTCCCTGCTACAACCCTGCTCCGCCGTCTTTGCAACTTAGACATATTTCCCCCACACTCTAAGCTTCGTATCAAGATCAACTCCCCAAAATCAAACCATCCATTTCACTTCATCACTTCAAACCTCTCTCAAACTCTGCTCCAACTTTCTGTTACGGCTTGCATGTTAAGGATAGAAGATGATGATCGATGTCGTTAATGGACCCAAGAACGAAAAAGGTTGAACTGGAGGAAGATGGAGCCGCGTTTGGAAACTCAGATGAAGCTTGATGAGGTTCGTTGTTGCGGTGGAGTGCAAAGCTTCATTATTGTTTATAGATATTGATGGATTGTGGTTAGAGTTTCAGATCTGGAGTTGGTTCTGGTGAGGAGATTCAATGGCGTTGCAGAAGGAAGTGTGTGATTGTGAGGTTGGGGTTACAGTGAATCGTAAACTGAGATGATGATTTGATGGTGAATCTTCAGATCTGGGTTGATCTATGAAGATCTACAAGTTTCGGTTGACATTTTCTGGAAAATATGGAAGAAGGTGATGAAGATTGTTCATAGATCTGGAAAAAATGTCATGAAGATATGAAGGTTGTATGAATGTTTGTAGTTTTTGGAAAATGTTCATGGCGGATGATGAATCGAATGGAGATCTGGAAGAGATACAAAGATGATTAAGAACAAACGAAGGTTTGTTCATGGTGGTGGTTCGAACGGAAATATGTGATGAGAGTCGAAGATGGTGGTTGAGTTTGCGATTGGAGGTTTTCGTTTGGATCTGATTGAAGTTGTAGGTTGGATAGATGAACATGGTTCAGATTTGGGGAATTTGTTGAAGATATGGTGAATATTGCTGGAAAAAACGTTGGATGTATGATGAATTTCTGGGAAAAAGATGTATGAACATGATGAATTTATGAAGGCATCTGGAAAATATGTTGAACGTGATGAACGTTCATGAACAAGGATGGAGGTTTAGTGAATTTCTGGAAAAAAAAGTTATGAACATAAGAACACGGATGAGTTTATGATGAAGGTCGTATGAACTTGGATGAAGGTTTAATGAAATCTGGAAAAAAAATGAAGGAGGATGAATTTGGATGAATTTTCCGGTGAGGGACTTGAGTTTTCCGGTGAGGGATTTGGTGAATTTTCTGGCATGGTTGAACGGTTTAATTTTGCCGGTGAAGTGGCTCGGTGTTTTCTCGAGATTCGTGCAAAGTGCACAGTACTATTTATACCCTGACAACACGTCATATGGCACAGATCTGACTTTATTAGTGAAATATTAATTACAAAGCTGGAGATTAATGAATAAAACTGACAATTAACTAAATCAACTAAAACTAATTAAAATACTGACTGAACAAATAATAAAAGAAAAAGAATTAACTGCAAGTGACAATGATTAAACAAAAGTGGCTCAAAATTAAAGCTGATCAACGTGACCCCTCTTAAAAATACAAGCAATTAATAACAACTCAATAAACCTAAAAATCTGAAAAATCAACTAATATCTAAAAATAAACTCTATCCAAAATTTCAACCAAATTAATCTAGATTAATAAATTCTAATAAAAGAAACTAAATCAATCTAAAATATTAAAAAACCTAATATTCTAATAAACCATTAATTCTAGAAACTATTAAAATAGAAAATGCTATTTAAAATCTAAAAATCTAAAATAGAAAATAAAAGATAACAATCTAATAAAAATCTTAAAAAATTAAATTAGTGAACGTGAAATGCGAGAATGCAACAAAATAAACGATAACAAAAATCGGACACCGAAATATCCTAAAAAATAACAGCGTAGACCGAATCATCGGGAAGAGCACAACTTCCTAAAATAAACCTGCTTATCCAAACTGGTTTGAATTTCCTGAGACACGAGAAAAGGGCTGTAATCCCGATAAAATCAATTCGGCTGAAAAAATGCACAGTATGCGATATGCAGATGCAAATGCAAAATGAAACGAAACATAAGCAAAATACGAGAAACGGTTGGTCAAATTTTGGGGTACAACAATTACTAGGAATAGAAGAGGATAAGGGAGGCGAGAATCAAGAGAACCATGCCACAAACCCTCTAATCTTCATCGTGATCCATCTTCAACCTTCAGATTTCAGCAACTTGTCGACCGCAACTTCGCCATCATTCACCATATCTAATTGTAGAATGCTTGTGTATGCGTTTCTCATATATGAACGCAACCATAAATCTAACTCAGATTCGTGGTAGTCCGAGTTTGTTCCCGACGACCTGGTAATGCGGCCAACGACATTACATCAACAACGTAACAATACATCAGACTCTGTGGTGACAACATTGACATAAGCGCAACAACATCACTAGTCACTACGAATCTGACATCATCCGCAAATTCAATCACAACAACTGCAGAAACTCTGGTAATCCTCGATCTCAAACTCTTGTGGTGTTGTAACTTTTTGGGCCAACTTTGTCGTTCTGCTTTCTTCTTGTTTCATAGTTCAATCATGTAGATGTTATACATAATTAGTTGCAGAAACTCACATGTCGGTAACCATCTTTTTTGCTCTTATAATTGATATGTATGTTAGATATTCGATTAAATGCCTCGGAGAAAACCATCTTTTAATAGTGTCTTCACCAATAAGCTTGATGTTGAGGAGCTTGAGATGCTTTTGGAAGCATACTTTGTTCAAATTGATGGAACTCTCAACAAGCTTTCCACGGTATCCTTGCTATGTTCTAGTTCCTTGTTCTATACTTAACTTTATCTCTTTGTTTTGTTAACAAAATAACAGATACAAATTCAATAGTTCAATTTAACAAGTTAAAACACAAATGCAAATGCAGTAGTTACATTTTTATGCCTTTTGATCTAGTTGGGTAGAGTAGCTTAATGAATATGTCGTAAACACACAATATTTGAGAAGCAAAGCACCGTTTCCATCTCAAATAATGATTGGAATGACAAAATTTTCTGGTTTGTATTTGAGGGCTTGGATTGATTGTAATTCATCTAATTTTGCTTGCAAAACATTAGTATTAGACAATTATAAAATAGTTGTTATGACTCGGGGGATGCTTATGAAGCCTCATAGTCGGGTTATAATCTCCTCAAATGTACTCGCCCTAGTATCCTGCATTCAGACTGATACGACATGACACATGTCTTATAGCACCCAAAAGACTATTGGGGCCAAATACTCCTTACCCTACCTTAGCCGAACAACCTAAAAATTCTGCTAAAATACAGTTGTATAGCTTGGGGAACAGAAAGGGGGGCCTATAAGGAGAAAGAACCGAGGAGCTAAACCTAAGTCATTCATTCAGATTTTACCCTAAACACTTGACCTTGAGCATGACACATTGTTGGCAGAGGTCCTAAATATTCCACACAGGAATAAATTAATATTATGGGATTTAAGATACCTAGTTTATATAAATGCTACTGATTTTCTATCTGATATGGTTATCATATATGTTTGTTTGAAAGAATATAGTTTACCTTGGATATAGAATTGACTTGTCTGTTGCTGACACCTTGTTATTTGTCGGTTGTTGTGTTGAAGCTGAGGGAGTATGTCGATGACAGAGAGGATTGCATCAATATTATGCTGGATGACAAACATAACCATCTCCTCCAAATGGGAGTCATGTTGACCACAACAACTCTGGTAGTGAGTGCCTTTGTTGTTGTGGCGGCTGGTGTTTTTGGCATGAATATTCATATTGAACTGTTTGATAGTGACAAGTACGGGACAAGAGAGTTTATGTGGATTGTTGGTGGTGGCACTACTGGAACCATATTCTTGTATGTGGTTGCCATTGACTGGTGCAAGTATAAACGCTTGCTAGAATAAGCAGCACTCTATTGTGTTCTATACAATAATGTAATTTAATTGGAAAATAAACTTATTTTTATGTTCTGTAGAATTTTAATGCTAGACTTATACACGACATCTATTTGCTTCAACTACTTCTTCTTGTACATTATTGTATGGACAAAGTCTGCAATAACATTGGTTTTATGCAACACTACCTGCCAGTCCTGTAATTTTCACAAAGATTTCCCAAGATTCACTGTTTTTCATCATATTTAGTTTTATGGGTGTTTTTTTAGTTTGCTGTGAAGCGCCTATATCAGCACAACTTCAAACGAGTTGAACAGTTCATGAATGAAATCAAAACTCTCACTCGCTTGCGCCACAGAAATCTAGTTACTCTTTATGGTTGCACTTCACATCAAAGTCATGAGCTACTACTTATGTGTGAATACGTTTCAAATGGAACTGTCGCCAGTCATCTGCATCGTGAATCTGGCTTTTTGCCATGGCATATCTGAATGAAAGTTGCCTTAGAGAATGCTATTGCTTTGGCTTATCTCCATGCTTCTGAAATCATTCACCGTGATGTGAAAACAAACAAAATTCTCCTTGACGAAACCTTTTGCATCAAAGTTGCTGATTTTGGACTGTCAAAACTGTTCCCAAATAATGTCACACATGTCTCCACAACTCCACAAGGAACCCCAGGCTATGTGGATCCAGAATATCATCAATGCTACAGGCTTACAAGCAAGAGTAATGTTTACTATTTTGGGGTTGTATTGGTTGAGCTGATATCATCTATGCCGGCAGTTGAGTATTACATAGTTCTGGGGGCAAATCTACCGATATGGGATGGCCAGTTGCTGGACAGACATTATTATGAATTTTACTACTCAATCCTCCCATTTATTGTAGTATTGAGTTATAAAATCTCATTTTCTTAAAAGAATAAATAAAGGGAATCAATAGCGCTTTTCTAGAAAGTGCTATTAAAGATAGTGTCTACAATAACACTTTTAGAAAAAGCGTTATTAAATACAAGGACTATAATAGCACTTCTAAAAAAACTCTATTAAATACAAGGACTATAATAGCACTTCTAAAAAAAGTGCTATTAAATACAAGTACTATAATAACACTTCTTCAAAAAGCGCTATTAAATCCTTTCATAAACAAGGTGTATGATAGCGCGAAATAGGGCAATGATAGCATTTATAACGAAGTTCTATTAAAAACACTCATTTTAATACCGTTTTCAAAGGGCTATTGTATATATCAAATCTATAATAGCGGGGGCTTTTATAGCGCTATTAAAAACAATTTTTGGCGTAGTGACTAAAAACAGTATAGTTTTTAACGTCATTTAATCTCAATCAAAGTATTCACTATGATAAAATCTATTCACACAAGTGTTTTTTTTTAAATTTTAAGCCACTTTTGACCACAGTTGGAAATTTCAACTACGGTGAAAAGTGGCACCTAATCATGGGTTAGAATACTAACACTTACAATTTTGTTTTTTATTTATTTTAAGCCACTTTTTAGTATGATTGGTACATCCAACCGTGGTGAAAAGTGGCGCATGGTCATGAACTCGTATTCTAGCACCTACAGTTTTGTTTTTTATTTATATTTAAGCCAATTTTTACCACGGTTGAAACTTCAAACATGGTGAAAAGTGGTGCATGATCATGAGTTCAAATTCTAGTATCTACATTTTTGTTTTATTTATTTTTAAGCCACTTTTTACCACAGTTAGAACTTCCTACCATGGTGAAATGTCACTCCGGGTCATGGAAAAATATAAGCGTTTTTATTGAGTTTTTTTACCGTCTTCAACAAATCTTTACCGTCCATTTGGTGAATATCAATGCTCAAGATACTACCATTAATAATTTGCGTGAAACCTAAAACTTAGATAAACTTTCAAATTAGACAAACTTCATCTTCTACCCCCAAACACCATCTTCCATTTACGCCACTTTATTTCTCCACTAAGTCAAACTCAAAAACATCATTTTTTATATAAACAAAACTCAAAAACAACATTTCTTTTGTTAACAAATTTCTAAAATTCATCACCTCTACTCCAACTTGAATGAAACAAGGAAAACATGGACTCAAATTAGCATTGTTACCTATTGTTGTTCTTGTTGTTGTTTTTGTTATTGTTGTTTTTGTCATTCTTGTTGTTGTTCTTGTTATTGTTCTTGTTATTATTTTTGTTGTTTTTCTTGATATTGTTCTTGTTATTATTCTTGTTGTTTTTATTGTTATTGTTATTATTGTTTTTGTTTTTGTTTTTGTGCGTTCTCGTTCTTGTTGTTCTTGTTATTCTTGTTTTTGTTCTTGTTGTAGTTCTTGTTATTCTTGTTTTTGTTCTTTGTTATTGTTGTTGTTGTTATACTGTTGCATTTTATTTTATTTTATTAAAAGACATACAACAATGGTTGTTCAAAGTAACCATTGTGATAGGTTGAGACATACAACAATGGTTGTTTAAAGTAACCATTTTGATAAGTTGCGCATACTTGACTTTTAATATGTTACACAACAATGATGGAAAGAATCATACATATAATCACACCTTAAGTCATAATGGTTTGCAAGGTTTCTTCTTCAAACGGGTTCATTAAGCATTTGGCAACGTTCAACCAAACCATGAAAGGACGATTACCAAACAAATTTCACTACTAGAGAAAACACATATAGTGGCAGTTGTAAAACACATATAATGACGGTTTCTTGTCCGTTGTTAGGTAGCATGTCATTGTATGTATGCTGGAGGATTTTTTGTAACCATGGGACTTTTGACAGGAAGGGATCACCAATGAGGCATGATCAAGGTGGACCAGGTATACGAGGAAATAAGACTTCAACATTCAAACCCACCGCTGACGCCTCCAAAGGAAAGTGGGTAAAGCCAGTCGACAAGATGGGGCATGGTCAAAATAAATGGCAGAACTTCAATGTCGAAAGAGGCTCGATGAAGCCATGAAGAATCACATAAAGCCTCTACTTATTAGATGTAAAATAGAGAATATGGGTATCAACAAGATATTAGTTGACGGTGGAGCGGCAGTAAATCTAATGTGCTTGAATTCCCATTATTCTCCCTAATAACTTTGAATTCCCAATATGTTTGAGACTTCAGTTGAAGATGATTGACGTAAAGTCCTTGATAGAAAATGTTGCTTCAAACGATCAAGATTGGCCAGATGCAGTTACTTGCCATAATCCCTAACTTTTGCCTATATTGCCCTCTCAGATGTACGATACCTATGTAGAGAAAAAGGGAGCATATCATGCCAATCTTTGTATGTAACAACCATCTTCTGAATTATTTTTTTAATGTTCTTATTAGCAGCTTCAACAACCCCATTCATCTTGGGTCTGTAAGGATAAGAATTATGATGCTCAATCTTACACTTATCACATAATTCCTTCATTGTCTTATTATTCAGTTTTGACCCATTATCAGTGATGATTTTCTCGGAACACCATACCGACAGATGATTTGGTTCTTGATAAATTGAACCACTACTTGCTTGGTCATATTAGCATATGATGCCGCTTCAAACCACTTGGTAAAATAGTTAATAGCCACCAATATGAAATGGTGTACGTTCGAAGCTTTGGGCTCAATCATTCCAATCATATCAATTTCCAACATGGAGGAAGGCCATGGAGAAGAGATAACATTGAGAGGAGTTGGAGGCACGTGAATTTTGTCAGCAAAAATCTAGAATTTATGACACTTCTTCACATATTTATAACAGTCAGATTCTATTGCAGCCAATAGTAACCTGCCCTTAACATCTTTTTAGCCATTGCATGTCCATTGGCATGGGTACCAAAGGATCCTTCATTAATTTATTTCATCAAAGTCTCTACTTCATGCTTGTCTACACATCTGAGCAAGAGCATGTCATAATTTCTCTTATACATCACGTGATCATTCAAAAAGAAACTATCATCCAATCTTCTCAAAGTTTTCTTATCCTTCTTAGATGCCCAAAGTGGGTACTCTTGATTCTAAAGAAAACGTTTAATATCATAATACCAAGGTTTATCATCAACAACCTCTTCAACTACGAACACATGAGTTGGTCGATCAAGGTGCATAACATCAATTTTTGGCACATCATTCTACCGATTTACCATAATCATGGAGGATAAAGTCGCTAAAGCATCTTCTATCCGATTATGTGCTCTTGGTATATGGTGAAACTTAACCTTATGAAGAAAGTTGACAACCTTCTTTCATAATTGTGATAAGGAATCAAATCAGGCTGACGTGTCTCCCACTCCCTTTTAATTTGATTAATCACTAGGGATGAATCTCCATATACATCAAGGATTTTGATTCTTAAATCAATAGCTTCTTGCAAACCCATAATACATACTTCATACTCAGCTGCATTATTTGTGCAAGTGAACACCAACCTTGCAGTGAAAGGAAAATGAGAACCATGAGGGGTAACAATAATCGCCCCAATACCATTGCCATAATCATTAACAACTCCATCAAAAATCAAACCCCATCGGGATCTAGGCTTAGGTCCTTCTTTAAGTAATGGTTCCTCATAATATTTTACCTTTAGATAAATCACATCCTCAACAGGAAAATAAAACTGGATAGGTTGATAATCATCAATTGGATGGTGTGCCAAATGCTCAGCCAAAACATTTCCTTTTCTTGTTTTTGAGTTTGGTACTCAATATCATATTCTGACAACAACATTTGCCAACGAGCAGTCCTCCCAGTAAAAGAAGCGTTTTCAAAGATATACTTGATTCGATCCATTTTAGATATCAACCAAGTTCTGTGATTCAATATATACTGGCGAAGGCGCTTGGCAACCCAAGCTAAAACACAATGTCTTTTTTGATAAGGGAGAAGGCATAGGGTCATTGTTTTCAAAGGGTTTAACAATTAATCTGCACAATGATTTATATTTGATTTTAGAATATGAACAAGAAATGCAAATATCATGCAGATAAAAGTGATTATCACATTAGTATTTTTTTGG